CGACTATCGAAAAACTATCGATAGTACTATCGATAGTCGACTGTCGAAAAACTACCGATAACACTATCGATAGTCGACTATCGATAGTTTTTTCCAAAACTATCGATAGTATCGATAGTCAATTTATCGATAGTTTTGCATCACTACGTCTTAGACGTTGTCCTCGAGGTCGTCCTAGACGTCGTCCTGGAGGTCATCTGACCGTAGTACAGCTTCGCTGGTCTTCCTTTTTCACCAGGGTGGAAAGGCTGAAAGTTTTTTTCGTCTGCTGCATACTTTTCGTGGCCGGGCAGCGCGTGTGCCACTGGGCACGGTGACCTTGGACGCTCCGTGTTAACGCCGTGCTAATGGACACTCGGCACCATGGGGTGAGCGGTGGTGGAAACTGAAGAGTGCAGTGGCCAATGGGAGCCCCGTCAACGCGTGCCAGGATTGGAACCGAAGGAAACTAGGTGCCGTTTTCACGCTTCAAACTGATGACATCAGCTTTCGCATTAAAAAAAACATTTTATGCATTGCAGAATGCTCAATCTCTGTCGAAATGTAGCTTAATGGAAAAGTTTCAAAACTATTCATTATCTCATTCAAAAGTAAGATTTTTGGAAAATTCCATTGAGAAAATGGCGGCTGATGAAGCTCTTGAATACAAGGAGCTGAATGTTGCCAGTTACCAAAAACAAGCCCCATTTTCCTATTTAAATATTTACAAAATCACACGACTTTTGATTAAGTTCTGAAACTTTGGCATCTGGTTAGGACTGCTACTAGATTTGTGTGAAAATGAGCGTTCGGCAATGCATAGTCAGGATAGCTGCAATAACTGGGAATCATTATTTTCTGCTTATCCCTTAAAAAAAAATGTTTTTATACGGGTTTTAGATATTAATGAAACTTTGTAAAATTGTCTTTATTGCCACATACATAATAAAAGCTCGAGGTTCACCTAAGCACACCTTACGAGTTGTGAATGCGAAAGCATGCAAGCCGCTCGTCCGCTTCCTTTTTCGTCTGCTGCATACTTTTCGTCGCCGGTCAGCATGCGTGCTCCTCTCGTGACCTTGGACGCTCCGTGTTAATGGCGGGCCGATAGACACGCAGCGCCGTGGGGTGAGCGGTCGTGGAGACTGACGAGCGCAGAGGCCAATGGGAGCCTCATTGATGCGCGCCAGCCAATGGAACCGAAGGCGATCGCAAAAGCTAGGTGCCAATTTCACGCTTCAAACTGATGACGTCAGCTCGCTCCATGGGACCAGTTAATGCTTTCGCACTAAAACCAAAAAGTTGCAAGATTGAATGTCTAATGCCAGGAATGCAGGGGCGAGAACATTCTTTCCTCTGGGTCATCGTTGAGCCCATACATTTCTGGTGGAACTCTTCAAAAGAGAGCACTACACAAAGGTGAACCTTATCCTTATCATTTTTCTCTGTCAAACAATGCCTGCAGTTTCTCAATTTTTTTTTTTTTTTTTTCAAAGCAAGCAAATAGTTTCTATGCTGCAAATGGTATGCCGAAATCTTTTTCTCTTCTTCCCGCACTCCGATCCCAATTTTGTTTGCGTACAGGTTGGTTTTCGCCACAATTACGTTAAATATTTTAGCAAACAGTGCATCCAAAATCATCACTGGTGCAAGGGTTGGAGCGACTTTGGAGGACCCCGACGCTGATGAACAAGAAATGGAATTATTTTACACGTAGCACTAACCTTTCTTTTTTTTTTTAAACCACATTAGCAGTGCCGTTCTGGCGAGTGTCAGCATCCGAGTTCCAATCAGAGTCATCACATATAAGCCAATGGCATCATAGGAAGAGCCAATATTGTTATGCCAAGTTTGAAATCTGCATTTTCTCCAGGAACCTTTGGGCATGTAACAGCACTGGATGATAGATCATCCGACGACTTCTTATATCATCCAGAAGGAAAGAAAATACATGCCTTGCCTCTCTCGTTGACAAGCGATTTCCCCTTTCAGGTGAAAAACATAAAATACTGAAAAACGAACCTTTACAAAATGCCCGTAAAGAATGATGTTGCCACGCGAGTAGTATACAACAAACTTGTGTAATTTTACTTGATGATGACAAGTATAATTATTACTGAAGGAAATTTGTTTGAGTGCAGTACATGTATTAAATGAGATCTTTTTCCTCAACGTTTTCCTCCCATTTTTCAATAAATCATCCTTCTGCAACCAGAGCTCGTTCCCCCCCCCCCCCCCCCCCCCCCCCCCCCCCCAAAATGAAACGAACAAACAAACAAAACATCATGCTGAAAAATTTTAGTCCAGTCAACAGGTTTTGCAGGCCCCTCGTGCACATACTCTCTTAAAAATATTTTTATTAAGTTGAAACATGGGTGGAAGTTGCTGCGATACCGAGGGAATATATTTCCCTCTTGACTTGGGGGGGGGGGGGGGGGGGGGGGGAATATACTGCTTTTGGGGCATTCAAGGGTTTAATGTGGCAGACGAAAGAGGCACTTAATTGAACTGCTAAGTTCCCTACAGTCACTGTAAAGTGAGAGCAGGATACGAAACTACTCACAAGCATTGTCGTCGTCCGACGGCCTGTCGGGATTTCAACATGGCGATGTTCACCTAATGCTTTGCATATAGACGCTTTCAGCGCGCGCCAGATTGAGCCGCCATAGCCGACCTTCTCTTGTCTTACCGAGATGCCGAGCCACTGAAGCGGGCGTTGTCGAGCCCCCACAAAGGCCTTGGCTGGGGAGAAGAACGCAGTAGAATCTAAAATGGCAATAGCCTGTCCTGCTGTGGTAATGATGAAGTGAAGCGAACGGAATAATCGGGAACAAAAACTGAAGGTCGGTTATGGCGGCGCCCATGCACAGCTGCCTGAAAGCGTCTATAATTTCACTTACTGCATGTCTCTGGAATATTTGTTCCCGTGGTCATTGCTGTCAAATGAGCAACGACTTCAGCATACCATATAATGGTTCAGGTGGTTCTTTTCCTGCCATGCCATTATACAGTAATGTAGACAGTTGGGCAAAATGGTATAGACTGAACATAGTTACAGTTGAACACAGAAGGACAGGGACACATAGACGACTGACAAGCGTACCTGTCTGTCATCTACGCTTGAACGGTTCTTAATTTCTACTGTAATTACATCATGTTCGACTTCAAATCCATCGTCTACCGTGGGCAATGAAAGTGTTGGCAAGTGGCTCCACTAGTCCATGCCAGTCATCCACTATGGGAAAGGAAAATTAGCGCAACTCCCAGTTTTGTGTCAGCCTGGCAAAAATATATTGCATACATAAATTTTCTGCACACATAAAACCGTATTGTCTAAAACCCAATGCAAGCAGACACTCCAAATAGATTATGAAAAGAGTGACAGGTAAAGTACCAGTTGGAGGCAGTGTTGCAGAATGGGCACCCCCATTCCATTCCCATTGCGGGGAATTAGATTTTTCGACAATTCCATTCCTTTGGGGACACTGGGCCCATTCCCACTCCTGGAATGGCTGAATCTTTCCATTCCATCCCTCTAGTTCCTAAACGTAAAAATTTACACCTGACAGGTGCATTGCGTTGCAGGGTTGGGCAGAAATAGTCAGAAATGTATTTGAAAATACAAATACTGGGACAGATGAAAATAGTAGCTAAAAATTAATACTGATACTCAAATATATCTGTTAAAATGTATTATGATACGCATCGCAAATACATTTTAAAAAGAGTCAAAACGTCTTTGCAAAATCAAATGCAGGAATACTTTTTAGGGAGGACAAAAATATAAATACTGATAATGCAATACATTTTTCAAATTTCTTTGAGATGCCAACTGAGATGAGGCTTTAAGTTTGAAGTGGAAGTTTTTTTTTCTTTTTTATCCCGAAATTATTTTCCCACAGGCTTGGAGCTTCGCCTTAAAGGTAGTGGTTCCGGACGACGGGGTTCGAAAAACGTTCCATCAAGGATTGACCGCGATCCCTTCCCTGGCATCCTGTCTGTCTGACCAGTGATGCGAAAAGACCTTGACCTCTAAATTCCATCAAAACATCATCACTTTCCTGTCCAATAAGGGTGCCCCTGTCAACGCTGATCACATGACGTCACGGCGGAATGAACTAGTATTTTTGTATCTGTAGGTGTTGCCTTGAACATGAAACTTTACCCACGCTACTGTATGAGAGGACAATATGTACTTTCGTTGTAGGGGACCTCGTTGAAGACCATGCAGGCAGTTGCATTTGGAATTTTCGAGAATAGGGTGGACCATGTGAAGCATCCTGGAGCACATGTCTTATCTTCTGCTATGGTTGAGAAATCGATACGGTGGCATCCCTGCTGCGACGGCCCTACCTGCCGACCTTCCGCCTCCAACGCATTAATGGCAGTCCTCAAGTTTCGGCTAGCATCATCCAAACAAAGACCTGTGGATTGTGACCTGAGATGGCCGGCATAGGTGTGAGCTCTCCGAGAAACAGCGCGCTCGAGCCGAGTCGCAGGAGTACAAAGTCTGGGTCGGCACAGCGAGGCCACGTCTGGCCTCCTTCCTGGGTATCGGATCACCAGAGCAGCGGGTCAGGTTCACGTCGACTGATGACGTACCCTTGAGCCGTGCAACAGGCGCAGATGCATTCGGATTTCTGTTGAACTTCACTGGTGAAAGGCGCCACTGCCACCCCCTTCCCTCCCCCCTTTGTCCCTTGCTTTGATGCTTATATTTTGTATTGCATTTTTTTGAGTATAAGTCTGTTAGGGCTCCACGCGGGTTCGCAGTTTCCCGTTGATTTTATTTCTGAACAACTGACTCGCTGCCTAACTCAATATAGCTACACGTAAAAAAAAAAAATGAATAAAAAATATAAAGAACCGGGCCCATTCCATTCCCATTCCATTCCGGGCAAAAGGCATCTAATTCCATTCCCATTCCATTCCGGGGTCACAAAAATGTGGAATGATTCCGGAATCATTCCAACTCCGGAGTGGCAACTCCGCAACACTGGTTGGAGGCACAGCAGGGAGAATGCTGTTCAACGTCTTCGAGCTTTATTCACCTTTAAAACACGAGGCAGAAAAAGTGAAGAACCAGAGCACTTAACAGGTCTAAATTGAAAACAAATAAAAACATTTTCTCAACGAGACTAGGGACTTCTTGCTAATATGTAAACCGGAGAAATCCCTCTTCCATGCACGACAAACTCTTTGCAGCACTACCAATAAATTGGCTCGACTGCTCAATGAACTTACGACTTCCGCGTTTTTTGAATTCACAAAATGGTAATAATGCTTGTACGATCGATGAACGTGAAAAAGAGTTCCGACAAGCTCGAGCGTGCCACACTCGAACGCCAACCTATTTGTGCGCACACGTGCGTAAAGTGAAACCACGATGGGCACCGAATGCGACCACAGGCGCCACAATGCGGGCCACTGGAACAATAATCAATGTGGGATCAAGAGTCTGCACCAAGATGATACGGCATACCCCGCACAATCCTTCCGTTGTGATGTAGTCGCTCGCGCATGCCCAGAGTTCTTCGGCCGTGCCTCGCCTAGACGGTGTCAATATGGGCCTTGCCAACTTTCAACAGACAGTATCACCGAAGCCCACATCTATTGGCGCAGGCTTACATCCACTGCCAAGGGAGACAAGATTGAGACTGCAACAAAACATCGCAACGGTCTTGGCACACCGTTTCTCACGTGCGTGCGCCATTACTTTGACCGTTCGTTCACAAGCACTGGATCTCCTTCGCCATATTTAAGGTTCGGCAAAAGCAGACGTTGGAAACCTAGTCTCTCGTAGTGCGACCTTCCACTCGTTTGCAGTAGGCACCTCCCGAGCTGCCACTAGGGTGCCTGGAACGAGTCGCTGTCCGGTGCCTTCGGCGTCCCATCCCGCCCATACATCGCAAGCCAGTTCCGAAGTGACGACAAACGACAATGCGGAAGACGTCGTGTCACACGTCGAGATGTTGTGGCGACCCAACTCCAGGTTGTGGAGGCTTGCTTGGACTGTCCAGCTAGAGAGCAACCTACAGCAGAACCTGCATCTGCAAACATGCACCACCACTGCCACGACACCACCAGGATCACACACTGGCAACACCGTGACAGGTTCCCAACGGACCACATTCGAGGAGGCCGTAAACACCGGTTGAGGAAGTGTTCCGAGCACCGTACCGCCACCTCCGTACGACCCACATCTCGACTGGTCGTGTCCTTTGACCCCACACCTGTAGCCGGTTCCACAGCTGCATCACTGCACACTCTCCTTGCCACCCAAAGTCACCCTTGAGTAGTCGTACCATAGTCTAAGCCACCAATGAAGAACTCGTAGAACTGCACACGCTGGCTTTTACCGTCTTGTGGACCCACGGCTTCCTGGAGACAAAGAAGTCTATTACCAACACAGAAGTGGTAGTCGACAGGCAAGGACGGCGGCGGACCTGTTCGACCCGACCGGAGAAATTCCAAATTTATTAGAACCAACATCTCGTTCCCTCGCAGTATTTTGTACCGTACACATTTCTTTAAAATGGGTTGACCATCTCGTGGCAAAGCCTTCACACGCACCACATTCACTGGGACCCAGGACAACCATAACAAATTAAGCCTGCGTGTCTACTTTCACGCGGAGCAGGCACAGAGTGAACCATCGCCATTTATAGACAGAACTTTGATTGCGTCTGCAGCCCAAAAACTTGTTGCGCTAAGCAGGCATGTAGCCAGGGTATTGATTCAGGGGGGGAGGGGGGGGGGGGGGGGGGGCCGCCCGGTGACAAAATGCTGTATGAGGGGAGGAAGGAGAGGTTTCAAAAGGGGGGGGGGGGGGGGCAACATGCCCCCCCCCCCCCCTTACTCCCTTTTCTCTGAATACCTATGCGCTGGGTGCAAAGGTATGATGTCTGGAATGTGCCTCCAACTGCTGCGTTTAGCGTCCTATTCTATCCAAGCAAATAAAGCGGTCCTGAAACAGCAACAAATGATGTCGCAAAATTTGGAGTGATGTCCTGTCGGATGTCGCGATCCCAGCAGAGAACCATAAAAATCCCATAAAAAAAAGAAAAAAAAAAGAAAGAAAGATTCTAAGTGTGGGTGTTGTTGCGGCGTTCCAACTCCCGGCTACCAGGGCTTCCATAAACCGTCAAGCTGGCGAGCAACCAGCGGCAGAATGGGCGTCTCCCGCACCCAGCTCTGTCTCTACGTCACCAGCAGGATTCACGGCAGGCGACAGCACGACACTCGCACATTGTCGTGGGGCAAAAATCGAGGGACCGAATTTGAGGATGTGGTAGGCTCACGGGTCAAAGACATGATCCAGGCACTGTACGCCATCTCCAAAAGCTAATTGAGGAGAGCCCCTTACCTGAACCATCCGAATGTGCCAGCAGGACGACGATCCGTTTCGAAGTGTCGCAACAGCACCAAACACTGTGCTGCAACGAGGCCACAAAAACTGTGCCACAACAACTTTGTCAAAACAACTATGTCACAACAACTTGCTGCTACAACTGTTCGACCTCGCGGAACTCGATTACGTCTTTTTGCGGCCGTTGTCCGTCGCAGACGGCGGGGGGTGCGTGTCAAGATGGCTTCGCCGCGACAGACGGATCCACGAGGACCCGATGTTGCCCGATTTGCAGCAAAAATGCCGCCCCTTGACCTAGAAGCAACAAATGGATAGGGTTGTACTATAAATACACACTGTATGGACACCCCCACGATAAACACAATGTTTTGTTATGGAGGTGGACGTCCAGATTAAGACTAGGCATCTTTAGGACAGGTGTGGAGCACAGTGAAGGCAAAGAGTGGAAGCTCCCAGCTTCAGAAGCTACTTCAACTGCCTCATAGTAACCTCAACCTATAGTACTCATGCACTACAACTTACGTGTGCGAGCTACCATGCTCCGAATAAACTGTTTCGCACTGGATTGTCGAGGCTAGCGTAGCTTCCGCACTGCTCCAAGTCCTTCGCACGAGAGCGAGAGAAAATGAAACGAGAGACGAAGCCACATGCTCTTGCAGCTGGGCCCGAAAGGTACAGCACACTCTGTTGCCTCTCACCGCCCCCTTTTAGGGAGAAAGCACCGCAAGTTACTTTAAACTCCGACGTTTGCAAACACGTCCACCGTTGACGTGGGCAAGCTTATTGGTTTCATTTTTTTATGGGAAGAGAACAACAGGGTGTCTCCAATAGCGGCCAGGCTCTTTGTATCGACCGAGATCGGTTTCTTAACCTATCGCGCTACGATTTTGAGCAGCGTTGCCTACAGGTGGTGCATTTTTTCTATAAACTTCGCAAAGACCAAACTTACCTGAGGAAAAAGTAAAAAAATAAAATAAAAGAAAGACGTCTACAATTCTCTTTTATGCCAAATTAGAGTGCAGCTCTTGAGGAAGAGAAGGGGAGGGTATGCCCCTCTTCCCCCTCCTCTTCTGCTGCCCTCCCATTTAGCGGGGAATTTTTTCAGCTAAATTTTTTTTCCACTAAATTTAGCGGGAAAATTTTCTCACTAAATTTAGAGGGGTATTTTTTCCGCTAAATTTAGCAGGGAAATTTCCCCACCTAACTCGGCGTGGAAATTTTTACGCTAAATTTAGCAGAAAAATATTTCCGATAAATTTAGCACGGGAAGTTTTTAGCTAAATTTTCCGAGGAAATTGTTCTGTTAAATTTGGCAAAGAATTTTTTCCGCTACATTTAGTGGGAAAGTTTTTCTGCTAAATTTAGTGGGTAAATTTTTCTGCTAAATTTAGCGGGGAATTTTTCCACTAAATTTTGTGGGGAAATTTCCTCGCCAGAATTTAGCATGGAAATATTCCCGCTAAATTTAGGCCCCGTGTGACGTCACGAGGGTGACGTCACGCATGACGTCACTCGTGACCCTCGTGACATCACGTGTGACGTTATTATAGGAATGTAACGTAATGCAATGCACGGTTACACTGACGGCAACGGCGACAACGCTCAAACCGGAAACGGGCGCCTAAGAGCTGCACTCTAAAAAGAAAAAGGCTCATCTCTTATGGGAACGCAGCGAAGCCACGGGTCTTCAAACAATAGGGCGCCCTATTGTTTGAAGACCGGTGGCTTCACTGCAGTACAAACAGGTTCTGTTTTTATAACGATGAAAGATGTGAACTTGTAGATTTCGTAGTATAAAGAGGGCAGCTGAAGGGTTTATTATGAATGTTTGGCTATTTCAAAGTAATGACGTTCATTGAAGCAACATATTGTTTCAAGATTTGTCCTGGGACAGTTAATACTGCCAATTAGCCCCGAGAGCGAACACAAGCGTCGCTGCGGTCGCCGCGCCCGGATTGGGTGAGGTGTACCGTGACGTCAGGGGGAGTACTCCGCTCCGCTATCTCGCATCGGCTCGCTTCCCAGCACCGGTTTCCTGGTTTGGCATTGTGTGCCGCAAGCTCTTCGAGGAGCTGGACTTTGTTTACCCTGTGTACAAGACGTTGAGTTAGGCCGATATTGACGTGCTTCCGTACATTTTATAAGCCTGCTTGTCCCTTTTACTTTTAAAATTGGGTTAAAAATCCCGAAAGCTATCGGTGGAGGCCATTCCGCCGATGAACCTCCCCGTCCGTCCACACGACACAAGGCAATCTTGCGAGGGGTCGGTGAAGCGGTGGCGCGAGTGTTTCAGACGCTGGGATTCTGTTCCTTGCACGTTTGTGATTTAAGACGATATTACATCCCGCTTTCAAGGCATTTGAAGTGGCATTTATATCATGGGCCTTTGGGTGGTCGGCAAATTAGCTCGCGACCCCGACTCTGCGCTGCCACTCTACATGCGCTGGTTCGCAGATGTTTTAAAGGCCCTGCGTCTGATGATCTTGAAAGTGCTCGTGGAACAGGGTTGTTTTCAATAAATGTAGCTTCTTCGTGAATTAATTATATAGTTTACACACGCATGCAGGCATATTTCTTAGAAGCTGCACAATTACTGGAAATTAGTTTGTATGGTAGCAGCAAAAACGGCCGAATTGCCCCCAGTTGTCAGTATGATATGTATTGAACTGCCAAACTATGCACGGCAATAGTGCCGTAATATGCAATGTTTATACTTTTTCCTGACATTCTTTATTCCAGCCTTGGGTATTCCGAAAATACACCGTTTAGTCTGAATTGTCATTTCCAATTAAAAGGGACACTGCTGCAGGTCCCCAAAAGCTTCCTCAGCGTCCACACTCCCTAGAACTGAACTCTCTGACATCAGAGGCAAACAGGAGTAAAAGCAAGCATTCGAACGTCTGTCCAGTGGTAGATGCAGCACTAGCAACAGAAAATGTGGAACCTGTGAAGGGCGACAGTCTGCGTGAGAAAAGCTTCTGGTATTTTAGCTTCAGGACAATTCGATTTAAGTAAAATTTCAATTTTAGGGCTTAAGGGGCTAATAACTAGCTAGACACCTTCGCTTACGTTTGTTATACATTACTTGAGGGTTGATATAAACTAGTCCACAGATACCACCCGTGTAGTCCATTGATATACTATCCGAATCCAGCAAAGGTCAAATGCGAGCAATGTATATAATAAATGTTCCTTGTTTTTTTTTTTTTTTTTTTTTTTTTTTTTTCCTACTTTGCCCCTGCATTTGGGCTGTCTTACTTGTAATTCTCTCTTCATGGCCCAGACTGTATCTAACATGTTGCTCGAGCAGCATGCAGCTTTTCTGCTTCGGCGATCTTGTTTAAAAACTGATATACAAAAAAAAAATAATATACATAACCTGCCAATTCATTCAGACCATCAGCAGCATTTATTGTGCAAAATGTAAATCTATAGTGATGCTCCTGCAATTGTGGCCATATTTCTTTATTTTCATATACCAGCTGTGATTCGTGCGTTGCCTGCCCTGTCAACCATGCTTAAAATGTTGGTTGAAGTTTCGCCTGTAGCTACAGGCCATACCTCAATAAAGGCTCATATAAAAATTTACACTTCCTATAAAAAACACGCCAAAAAAAAAATCAAATAGAAACGAGCGCGCCGACAGGTAACGTCGTCACAGCCTCCACAGGGCGAGCGTGCCGAGTCGGGGAAAAATTCTCTCCTCGCCGTGACGTCACCCCGGTTCGCCGTAAGGGGGCGCCACGCGAACTTCTCGGGGCTAATTGCAAGGGCGCCAATGCCAAATGCAGCTGCAGAAATGTCTTTTGAGACCGGTTACTCTTTTAATGAATTTAGCGTATGTCTGTTTGGGCATTTTTAATTTTTGTTTAAAAGAAATAAGAACAGAGTAAAATTAAGCTTTGAATATCAAAGACTTGGGAATCTAACAAAAATAGGCCCAATAAACCCCGAATTTCCAGCGAAAAATATAACTCAGAAAAACACCCTCCGAATTTCACAAGAAAATTAACTAAAAAAACACGGAATCCTGCTTATAACATTGTTGGAAGTTCTTTGAGCCAAAAATGAGAGAACGATGCACAAAAAATATAGGGAAGATATATACAAACATGAAGAGTGTTCCAGTGACACTTGATAGACGGCGCCAGCATTTTCTCTTTGTAAAAGATATTTAGATATATTAAGGCACACGGCTGATATCAGTCGCAAGCGTGTGAGCTAGGGAGCCTTCATGTGCGCTTTGCTAGGGTGATGCCACCCTTTGTAATACCACTTGCCGACAAACCAGCAGCCATTTTGTTCCTCGGCGATAATCCGTGGGGCTTATAACCCTCCCGGAAACAAGCACCTTATCTCAGAAGTTCGGAGCAGCATTGTGGAACCTCCGGAGGGAGGATTAGCATTTTCCCCCTCGGATGGGATTACTGATGGACACAAACGCCACTTTCCGGCGCACGGGGAAACAATGAGAGAAACAAAATGGAGGTGGAAGAGGGCGTGGGAAAGGGAAACAGGCAGTTGGCATCACTCTATGCGAAGCGCACATGAAGGCACTCTAGTGTGAGCCAGCCTTAACGTCACCATGAAGAAATCCGAAAGACCCACCCAAACCAGCAAGCCACGGCGGTGTGACGTGCGGTCGTTCCGGCTGCACCGCCACGACTGGCACTGTCGCCACTACGGGCTGAGTTGCAATGCCGTGCCGTTCCACGTTGTGGAAGTAAACGACGTTCGCCTGCGGCTGCGCTTCGTCACGGATGGAGGTGGGGACCCACTGCAGTGGCTGGGCCGTGACGGTGTACGAGCCACTGGGATTCGTGGGGACTGGATCTTGCTGGAACTCTTTCGGAGCTGCCGCAGCCAGACCTAGAAAGAGCAAACGGATGGATGTCGCAGTGACTACACTGTAAAAAGCGTTGTTTTTATAAAGAAAGGTTACTAAAAAAAAAAAGCTGCAAACTCGATATAAATGCAGTGTGTGCAGGTGAGTTATCTGGTCAGGGGGCACAATATAGGGGCTAACCATAGTGATAAGTCGGACAACTAGGTAACTGAAACTTGTTAATGAACTCATTAATTAGTGAAAATAAATATGTGGTTCCAATTAGAAACTTGTTGAGTGTCATTTAAAACAGCTAAACAACTAATTCAGCCAATTTTAGAGACAAAGCAGAGTTGTGTGCAAAGGTTATCCCTCGTGTGACAGGCGCAAGGCTGGTGGTGCAAAACATAATGGATAACGTTATCTGTTACTGGTCAGTACTCTGCAAATTTCTTATTGAAACAATATGTCTATTTTTACTAATTAAAAAGCGGAGTAGGGAAATACTTTAAGCACACCATACTTAAAGTACTACTTCAAGTAGGTTTAGAAAACTTGTACTTTACTTGAAGTAGGGTACATTCTCTGAGCATGTACTTGTACTTAAGTATTTTTTCTAGTACTTTCGGAGGGAAGTACAATCGCCGACTTCAAAGTATACATATCCCCAAATTTGGTGATGTTTGACTTGTAGCACAAAATGATGCCTTGTCAACTCTAAAGAAATATGGCAAAAAAAACCTGCAACATCTAACGCACGCACGCACGCACACACGCACGCACGCGCGCACGCACACGTGCACACACACACACACACACACACACACACACACACAAATGGTGCATCGTCCTATGAAAACGCGCTATCATCTTTCGAGAAGTCACTGGTCATTTCTCCGAGTGAAGTAATGGCGGCTATAATACCTATACAATGAAGAGCCTTATAAGTTGAATGTGTCATATAGTTTGTCGGCGAAAACAAAACTACCCCTTGGCCACTTGACTTTATTCACTATTTGCCGCCATTTCCGAAACTAACTGACGCACCCAACTAACTGACGCAACCCCTTGAGGCAAAGCATACAAATTAAAGAGAAAAAAAACAAAAACGAATGAAAAGGCAATATAAAAGCTTGTGTTAAAAAGTACTTATACTTTAGTTTAAAATTACATAATATTTTTAGTCCTTCACTTTAAGTACATTGCACTCGGTGTGCTTCCTACTTTACTTGAAGTATATAACCTCTCACTTACTTTGTACTTTAGTTTCAGTACTAACAAACAAATTTTAGTTGATTGTGTAACTTATTGCGGCAATTAACCCCTTATATTATGCCTCCCTCGCTGTATAACTCACCTTTTAAGACAGCACCAGTGTAGCTTCCACGGCTTCTTTTTAAATAATCCGTAAAGCCCCAAAAACGAAGCGTTCAATAAATGCAACATTTCTATGTGGGAAATAATTCCCCCGTGCCCATACGGCAAGTAGAAACCAGATGTCCTCAGCAATGATGTGTAGTAGAGAGAAGGCTAAGAATGCAAGTTTCAGCTTTGGAAACTGCTGTGCAGGATAGGCACCTTGCAGGGCACAGACCCAGGAAGTTTACTGCAATGGAAGGAACCTAGAAACAACGTTACTTGTAGCCTTAGCTGAGCTCCGAGTCAAAGGGACCATCAAATGATTTTTGAAACTTTTTCCTCCTTAGCTTTCCTCTTCAACTCCAAAGCAAAATTGAGACACCACGTGGCTGTGACGTAATATTTCACCGGACGCGATGACCCCCAGCTTCCATCCTACTTTCCAGGCCCACCATGAAACCAGTCATTCGCGAGTGATAATAAGTGCTGCCAAGGCACTCCTTGGCAATGAACGCAAATACAAACATTTGTCGACGGACGAGTGAGTGAGCTGGGTTTGGCCGACGTGCTTTGGCACTGAGGATGCGTCGCAGTGAAAAGGCGGAGAGCTACCGAAGGAAAGGAAGTAAGAAATGGTCCGCTATATTTTCATATTTTCGTACCGAAAAGCAGGCTTTTGGCTTTCAACCCTCGTGTACTAGTTTTCTTTTGGGCACACTAGAAGATATGCAAATATTGAAAACCCCAACCTAAAATAATTTATCCCCGCCCAACAATTAATATCACGGTCCTTTTAACATAAAATGGCAACCCCAGTGCCTGCGACAGCCAATAGACTTTTTTCATATTTGCGCGCCATCTGTCAGACGTTGCGCCAAACTTCTTCCGTTGTTTCAAACGCGGTGACCCACGTTTGATGTGACGGGCAGGGCGCTGCAACGGCAAAGTGACGCGACGCTACTGCCGTGTTTCGCTGCGCAATCATTAAAAAAAAAATGAGAAGCCAACTAAAGTAAATATATGGATTGCATTTGTTTTTATTTTCAACCTGAACTTCTTATGGCGAATCTCTCTAGTTAGTAGCGTTGGACCAGGACTATCCAAGTGGCAAAATGGCGAGGACCACGCCGCCTGCTTCTACCGAGAGCTTTGTCAAATTCTCTCGATACATGAAGCTCCCCATTGCTGTATTGATGGCTGGTCAAGGCCATCAATACAGCAACTGGCACAAATCCCAGATTTGTGCCAGTTGCATCCGCAGCAACCAGAACGACGGCAACAATAAAGACATCGGGACAACTGTGGCTACAGATTCTTTCACGAGGTTGCTTCTTGCGCTTGTCATGTCGTGTGCGGCAAAAAGGTTTCCCGGTGCCTAGATTCTTGGTGTCGTTTCGGTCATACTGAACGAAACCAGTGCAACATTCAAAACAAGGCTCACTAATATAATTCATTTTTAAGCATCAAATGCCTCCACTCCATCCCAGAAAACCGACGACATCGAATGAACCAGCCCGGAGAAGTCTATGCGGGCAGGGGGAGGACGGTGGAAGAGCCTCAAAGATGGCGTGGAGACACGATGGTTCGCCCGTCCGCTGAGAAATGGCCCTAATAGTAAAAATGTCTATAAAAACCCTAAACTGCAAGAAAAAAGAAAGACATTTACAATCTTGTGTAACGCCAAATTAGAGCGCAGCTCTTGAGGAGGAGGAGGGGAAGGTACAAAGAGAAGTCTATGCCCGTCCTCCTCTTCTGCTCGCCTCCCATTTAGGAGAAAATTCCGCTAAATTTAGCGGAATTTTTAGCAGGGAAATTTTTCCGCTAAATTTAGCAGGAAATTTCCCCCGCTAAACTTAGTGGAAAAATTTGCCCGCTAAGTTTAGCAGAAAAATTTCCCCGCTAAATTTATCGGAAAAAACTCCCCGCTAAATTTAGCAGAAAAAATTTCCCCGCGGTTACGTTGACGGCGACGTCGACACCGCTCAAGATGGAAACGGGTGCCTAAAAGCTTGCGCTCCAAAACAAGTTTAGCAGTCCTGCATAAAATCACAGTACAGCCACAGCTATGGCTGCCACAATTCATGGCGGAGTCGTTGGGCATCGGCGTCCGTGGGGTGCGAGAAGATAAGCGTTTGGAACGAAATAGACGTATGTTCTGTTCCAAACGCCTCCGCTTCGTTTCGGTTCTTTGGTCCAGAGCACGTGAAGCCCTCCTCCTAGCACAAGCTCTCGGTACTGGCAGAGCTACAACAAAAATTTTATCAACCCTTTTTTTTTCTTTTAGCAAAGTGCACAGGGCATTGGTTACTACAAAAACCTCAAGTATAAAGCGGGTTATTAACGCCATGGCGTAGCTCTATGGTAATTCCTCCACTTCGCATGCAGCAGACCCAGGTTTGAATCCTGTGGGCAATGGGCAATCTTTTTTTTGAGGATTTGGCTACGTAAATGACGGGCATCCAACAATGGACATCATTTCCAGGTGTGGGAAGAGCCCACAACAGCTATCGCCATACGAATAGCGCAGCTACATACCTGCCCCCGAAGAAATCGCCAGAGCGTCGGCTTCCGTCGGATCTTGAGGCTCTGCACACAAGAGGTGGTTCCAGCATTCAGAATCGCACCTAGCTGTGAAATGACACTGAGACAACAGACCAGTCTTGACGGCCACCATTGCGTTGCCACATTGTTGGGCCCCTTCGGAGACCTGCGGCTCTGCAAAGGACGAGCTGGAATTCAACCTGTTGCCTTCAACTGAATGTCGAAATTGACAGTTTAATAAAGTACAGACCTGGATTTGTGTGAAACGTAACCTTTGTCACGTCCGTGTAATCTGGTGCTTCACCTAATGGGAAAAATATACGACACGACAAATCAGATTTTGACAACATGTTCCCATTAGAGAAATGTTATCGGGAACATACCTTTCGTAAGAGCTGGCACTGGGTTCCCAGGTTCCCAAACTTCCTCGTACCACTCTGGCTCTGTGAGTGAACAAGAAACTGAGACCATGTTTAATAAAGGTGATGCGTTGTAAAGCCCAGAGTATAAAAACAAAACAAAAAAAAAAAAAACAAGCATTAATTTTAAGACAGACCTGATTTAACGGATACAAGATTACTGCCAGGCTCTTTGTCCTGTTCAACATATTCTGGTGGCTCTGGAAATGCAGGGACGGCACAGCAACACATTAGCTTATGCTAAAACACTATGAAAACAATACGGTTATGAGATCCCAAAAGGAGGCTTAGCTTGAGATGCTACGAGACGTTTGGCTTATGCCAATATACGAAGGAGGGAGGTACGTGCCTACGCTTAACAGTTACTATAGAGATGCCCTGGACGTGCTTTACTTACAAGAACTTCAAAAAAGGTACCAAGGGACACTTTAGGTTATGTTGAAATTAAATAAAGCTGTAAAACACCTGTGCTCATAAGTTTTCTAACATTAAGAAATTCCACGCAATGTAGCCTGTTCAATTATTTTTGGATTTGGCGGTCGTAACAGTCTGTTATGCATGCATCGTTTTTTTTATACTCGATAAAAATGTATAGTTCGTAAACTATATATTTTTGCACCAATATACTTGGAGCAAAAATTGTACCAACTTTGTACTACAATATTACGAGACATATAGAATAGAATCTTCTAAGTATGTATTATAGGAGCATTAAAATGCACTGCCTTATTTCGCTTTAAAACTCCGAAACGGACAGCTATAAATGAACAACGTCCAGTGTCTTCGGGAAAAGACGTATAAATTCAGGCACAAAACAAGCTTAATTGTAAATTTTTACCCATTATTTGCACAAATGTTATTTTAAAAGAATATTTCGTGCCATAAGTCTTATGCTGTGGTTTCCTGTAGGTAGATTTCTCTCAAGAAAGAATAGCAGTCGTTCGTCCTTCAGTAATATAAACAAATTAATTTTCGCGAATATCGCAACTTGAAATAAAACACTAAAAATTTATCACGCAAATGTATCACGTCATGGTAATTAATGCACATTGTATTGCTCCAAATCGCGAAATTTTGTGCCCGCAAAATATTTCCGAAATCCGCACCTTGCAAAATATTCAGCCTGTTAACATAAAGTCGTTCACCGTAAATTACTCTGACTTCTCAAGTCATAGTTTTATTGAATTATAACAACTCTGATTAACACAAGCCAGAAGCTAGACTTTACAAAAGAAAGCTAGAAGCTAGCTTTCTTTTGTAAAACAAGTAACTTGCAACAAGTTTTTGTTACTGTTCCTGACCAGTAAAATTAATGATGGACCAATAATGGTTGGCAACAATGCATTCTACAATCATCCTCCACATCCAATAGACCATTCCAGAAACGGGCGTCTGGCTGGTCTCAATTTCGGCATTTGCGCATATGACACGTGCCTTCTCCGCTTTACGAAGCAACAAGCATGCGTCTGTCGGGCTTTGATCATCAAGCGCTGGGCTGCGATTTTGTGAACATTGGCACGGTGCACTTGTTCCACCTGTTTCGTTGTAGAAACCACAAATTCTGGTAGTCCTTTTAGTGCTAGTTTTATTCCGAAATGACCCACAACATTATGCGAAAACTGACTGCGCAACAACCCACCCGTCTTGATAGTAACAGCCGTCATCGCAGTGTTGCCGCTGGAACCGTCCAACCCTGGAAGTGGAGATGGCAAGGGGCTGCGATTAATACAAAGTTATGCACTAGAACAATTGTGTTATTAACGACTAATTCAAAGCACAGAAGTTGTTTTCCACCATTAATAATGTAATTATAAAATTATTAAAGCATTCTGGAGTTATCTCAAGACAACACGGATAGAAAGAACAGGAGTCCCGAGCATTACAAATAGCGGTACAGTCCTAACCGACAACGCTATTAAAGCTAACCGTTTTTAACAGTTTCAATGATTATTTTCAGTCAATATTTCTTAAAAACAGTCGCTATCAAAATTTGTCGATTCTTACAGATACGGTAAGAAATGTCATGCCTCCTGTCATAATCACACTAGAGGGAATAAGAAATTGTTTAAACTCCTTAGAAGAAGACAAGGCCCATACGAGATGTCTCCCAGGGTATTAAGCGCCTGCTCGGATATAGCGTCGAAATACTTTTATATAATTTCTCATAAGTCGCTCGAAACTGGGTTACTCCCTAAACAATGGAAAGAAACATATGTTGCACCGATTCATAAAAACGGGCCAAAATCAATCGTTGACATTCAGTATAATAGAGCACTTAGAAGACAATACATTTTTTTATCCTAACCAACACGGCTTTCTTGGAGGAGTCTCCTGCAACGCCCAACGTCAGTACTGCTGGAAATAGGCAGCAAACTGATGCAATTTTATAGATTTCCTTAGAGCATTTGATTCTGTTTCGCACCAATTGTTATTGCATAAAATGAGAGCTCTAAACATAGACAGTAATGTACTTCGGTGGATAGAAGACTATCCGAGTGGGAGGAAACACTGCATTGTCCTGGGGACTAAGAAATCGAAATTTGTAGACGTAACTTCGGGAGTACCTCAAGGTTGAGTTTTAGGACCGCTTTTATTTTTAATCTACATCAATGATTTAGCGTCTTTCCTACCTTCTAAAATCAGATTATGCTCGGACGATCGCGTAATTTACAGAGCAATAAAGAATGTTAATGATGTGTCGTTTCTGCAGGAGGATCTCAAACGGGTTCGTTCGGTGTGCAAAAAACCAGGAAACTGGGGTTAAACACAAGTAAATGCTTTCACATCACATTTAGTAAAAAAAAAAAAAAAAAAAAAAAAATATTGATTCCACGTATGCTATTGGAAGAGACTCGCCGCGAAAGGTATCCGAAACTATTATATCTTGGCGTCGTTCTTTCACAAGACCTGTCGTTTAATCAACACATAGATATGATCTTGAAAAAGGCTGGCAGGGTCCTTAGCCTAGCCATCTGCAACGTCCGTAATGCTCCTCAAATCTTAAAAAAGATTCTGTGTATCATTCACTAGTTAGACCACACCTCGAATGTGCAAGCACATTATGGGATCCGCATCAAAAATATCTCGTAGATAAGACAGAGGGCACTCAAAATCGTGCCGTTAGATTTATTGTAAACAACTATTCTCGAGCAGAAGGTGTGACAGTGATGAAAGCTTGTATGGGTATCGAACCTCTCGAAAAAAGGCGTAAGCAAAATAGACTTAAACTTATCTATGCTATTAATAATGATCTCACTAGAATCACTGAATCAAATTATCTTCAAATGCCCCATTATATATCTTATATACCGAGCAGGGGGGATCATGAAAAGAAAATATGTGAAATAAAATGTCGAACTAACTACTATATGATGTTTTCTTTTTTTTTTTTTCCGAGAACTATATCGGAATGGAATGAGGTACTTCCGGATATTGTACCAGCTAACGGTGCCTCTTTTAATAACCTGATCTATGCAATGTGAATTTCTTTGATAGTGCTTTTGGCATTATTAAAATTTATAAAAAATTAACATTTTATTATTCTGTATCGTTTTGAATTATGTTTTTTTTTTTTATATTAGTTGCTGGCTTGTGCAGTATGTGTGAATATTCAATGCATAAATGTGATCTGTAACCCATTCATCTGCTGTAATGCTCCGGCGCTGCAGAGCGCATGCGCGGTTACACTAAAACGTTACAGAATTCTATATAGAAATCAACTAATAAAACACATTCTGTTCTATTAATTTTTTTAAAAAATTTAACGGAAAGAACAATGGCATGGCTACGTACCCGTCCCCGTGGAAACTGCCTCGGTGCGGACTTCTGTCGGATCTGGCGGCTCTGCACATGTAAGTGATTCCAACATTTAGAACGGCACCTAGCCATAAAATGCCACGAAGACAACAGACCAATCTTAACGGCCACTGCCGTGCTGTGCTGTCCTAGAGTCTCTTCAGAAACCTGAGGCTCTGCAAAGAATGTGGTTGCATTATATGTGACTTTTGTTACATCCGTGTAAATCTGGAGATTCAGCAGGTAGAAACCAAGAAAAAGTCATGAGACAATGTTTAGAAATGTTCCTAGCTACAAAAAGAAAGGCTATCGGCAACGTCTATTTCATAAGAGCTGACACTAGACCGTTAGGCTACCGAACATCCTCGTAACATAACGGCTCTGCGGGTACAAAAAGGTTTTGAGATTCTTTTTTTTTAATCCTCGAGGTACACCTCAGTACTTCTCATGAGTTGTGAATGTGAAAGCACGCACGCCGCTCTTCGCTCCCTTCTTTAATCTGCGGCGCACAACGCGCTGATCTTGGGCGTGGAACGGTGGAGCTGCTGCCTCACGGACACGCAGCGATCGTGAACGATCGTTCAAACTGTCGTGCGCCTTGTGGCGCAAGGAAGGAACAGACAGCAACCTGGTTGCCAGCAGAACGAACCCCTTGGTTTATTCCATGCGTCGTATATATTGCCACGCGCCGTACAACCGATAAGAGGCGAGCGAACGCGGTGATAAGTGATAACACAGTCAGGATGACACCACACAAATTGACACGCAGCGCAGCGGTCAATGGGAGCCTCGTTGACGCGCACCAGCCAATGGGACTGAAGCGTAAAAGGTGCTGTTGGCTAGCTACGCGGGCGGTTTCATTAAGGTGCCGTTTTGTATGGCTTCAAAGCTGATGACGTCGGCTCGCTCCATGAGACAGTTAATGCTTTTGCACTAGAAACTATGGAGGCACCAATTTTATGACAGACCTGATTTAAAAGACACAAGATGGCTGCTAAGCTTTTTGTCCTGTTCAACATATTCTGGTGCTTCTGCAAATAAAAGCACAGCATAGTGAAATTCTAGCTTATGCCGAAGCACTATGAAAACAAGACTATAGGATGCTAAAAGATGGCCTAGCTTGAGATGTTTGGTTTGTGCCAAGCTTTATTTGAAACAAAATATATAAAAGACAACATTTTTGAAATTTTGTTTTTAGAAAGTGGCAGGCACTTATCATCTTGTCCTGAAGTATTTTTGTGAAATAAGTCTTTTATCCTGAAATATTTACTTGAAAACATTGTAAAATGGGGCCGTGCAAGCCTTTTTGCTTTAATTTCAGGAACTACTATTTAGTTTCATTAGTTTACACTGCAGTTATTTTTTTTTTAGTATTTTCGGTCCACCAATGCTAAAGAAAAGGTAGAGGTTGGAGCACATTGAACACATTTTTTTCCCTTCCACTTTTCGGCATAAATTTCACTTTAAAACTATCGTTTTGTTATTGCGTAACTTGGATTCATTTCTACGAGTTTTTGTGAGGTGAAATTTTAAGGGGAAGATAGCTATGAGCTTGTATTTTTTTATTTTTGTCATGTTTCATGCTCCAGAACTAAAATTTTGGACAAAGGATGGAAATCTAAAAAATAGTATTTGTCTTTACGTAGCTTTTTTTGTCACGAAAGATGGTATAATATAGAAACATAGCTCCAAACAACCACGTAGCCAGAATTGTCATGGGGCCCGCCCATGACAAAATGCTGTATGAGGGGGAGGGGGGAGAGGAGGTTCCAGCAAAATGGAAGATTTCGGGAGGGGCCCGGGCCCCATAGGCCTCCCCCCTGGCTGCGTGCCTGGCTCCAAAGCTATCTGCTCTGAACTGTCCTAAAGCAATATAACACATAAAAACGACAAAATTACGAGTAATTCAAAAAACGATAGTTCTCCTACGCAGACACACTTCACTCAGGTTCACAAAATTTGGCAGAAATGTTCTCAACATCAACAGAAACAAACCCTGTAAATGTCATTTGAATCGGACGAGTGGTTCAAACGTTCACTTTTTTGCGTAGTTCCCCAAACAAAACTCCAAGTGTTTTTTTTATGCCCTTTATACCTCCTGCAATAAATAGTTTTGAAACTGAAAAATGCAAAAGTGCCATAAAAACAAATTCTCCTCGAGCTTCCATTTATACCTTACTGGACTCCACATACCTTTCAGTTTATTGAGCTATGTTTATTTTCTGATTTAGGTATTTTAATTTGTCTTAATTAACCCTTTCCATAATCTTTGCAAATGAAACTTCTAATATTAAGGAGATATTAGTAGTCAGATTGTAAAGGCAGATAAGTTGTGCAAATTTAATTTGTATTCTATCACAAGTTACATAAAAAAAAAAAAAAGCTTCAGAAGCAGTGTTCCCTCTTAAACAGCCATAACGGAGAAGCCATCGACATGTCTTAGTGCCGAGAGACATTTTAGGTTATGCTGAAAGGTACAGAAGCTAGAAAAACCAGAAGTGACCTGCTGCTGATAACGTCAGTTACATGTAGCTTTTTTGTGTGGGTCTTCTCTTACATTATGCGTGGTTTGTAAAAATTTTAGATTGAAAATAGTTTTCATGGCATACTCTATGTTGTGGTTTTCTGTGCATGTGCTCCTAAAAATTAATGTTGCTGAATTGTAAGAATTCAGGTGTAAAGAAGAAAGATCTCCGCAAGTGCAGATATCTATCTTGCCAATGCATCGGATTGCTTTTTTTGTTTTTCGAAGGATGAGCACTAGCTTGGAAAGATCACTTTCTACTGCTTTTCTCCGGAGCAATGAACCGTGGCTTAGATGAGGGCAACACAGTTTGTCTTTTTTGGTTCCCGTCCCATTTGGGCCGCCTGTTCGGTCTTACAACCCTCAAATGTTGCCAACCCTTTTCATGCCACGTTTTAACCCGAAATGAGCCGCTACCAAACGCGAAAACTACTCATGCAGGAACGAACCTGTCTTGACAGTAACAGCTTGCGTCAGACTGTTGTCACTGGAACTGTCCCACCCTGCAAAAAGAGATGACAGGAGGCTTTAATTACCACAAAGTGATGTGCTGAAAATTAAGGTGCTATTATTGCCCACTTAAAGGGCAACTTCGCTTCATTTTTGGTTTTGAAAAAACAATGCAGTCCTCTTCAGTATTGCCTAGGAAGACCACACGTCAAATATTACGACGCAGTTCTGTCTAAATGTTTCTTAAACGGTCCGGCAAATTTTGCAACTCGCCAAGTGGCCGAAATCGGCCGACTCGAGCGGGCGAATTCAGGCGCAACCAACAGCGCAGTCAAGGCTACGGCATGGGCGGAGCCAACATTGAGCTAAACGTCATCATCATGGCCCCCCTTTTGCTTGTTTTTACTTCTCCGATCGAGCGTAGCGCCTGATGTCAGCAACGTTGCCTCTCTGCGCTCAGCGGTGTCCACGTGATTGGCGTACGCGCCTGCGCAGCGCGCTTCTTGGGAGCAGATCAACCGCCCGCCGTTACCGCCGCCTTCCGCGTCACAACCACCGTCGTCGTCTCACCGTTTGTGATTATTGCCTCTCGGAGTTTCGTCCACACTATGGACACCACGTGCGCAGAGTCGCAGACTTATGCCGCAGTTGTGCAGACGTCGTCAAATGCCGTAGACACTCGCGCCTGCCGCACGCCCGCCCCCATCCCGTCCGTCGTTGGGCCGAGGATCACGTGACATCTCGTACCTCGTGATGGCCATGTACTTGGCGGCCTGAGGCCAATATTGCCGGACGAAGCCGAAGTTTCGGTTTCAATTTCCGCTCGCGTTTAAAATTAGATTTAAAAATATATATCCCAATTTTCGCGAAGCAAACGACGTAGTGTCTTTTACTAGGGCTTTTTAATTCGAAATCACACATTATTGGAATTGAGCGAAGTTGCCCTTTAACAGCATAAAAGTGCTTTGCTGCAATTATCAAAGAAATGATCCCTCTCACACTAATATGCATTTACAGGTATTTTCAGAAGCCTGAAGCTCTGCATGCAGACAAGATGGCAAACCCTGCTAGTGTTCAAGTCAGAGAACTTCCAACAACTAATAATGCCAATCCATTAAAACTATTCGCCATGTGGGTCATAGACAAGTGCGCAAACTCACCCGGTCCATCGTCCGGCAGTATCGATTCGCTTTCTTGGGTGTCAGAGTCGCCCTGCACATCTGAGACAAAACATAAAAAATATAATTTATGGTGCATGAAAAAAAAACACACAAGGAAATTTGTCACCAAGCTTTTATTGAGACCAGCACATAATTGGCCTATCAGACAGCCCCTGAAACAGTTATTTTGGTAACACTTTTCAAAAATGTTTGCATTTAAATTTAAAAAGTTGGGGAAAAAAAATTCAAGACACCTAAGCACTTCTTATGAGCTGTGAATGTGAATGCATTCATGTCCAATTGAACGCCACTGCATGCTCCATTTGAGTTTTGCATTGCGAGTGATGTTTTCAAGTTTTGCTCACGTTTCGCTTCTGCTGCGGTTGCGGCCATCAACGATATAGATGCTTTTTCCCACTTGGAAAGCTTTGCTTTGCGATCCCCTTCCCTCTCACGCTTCTGAATGGCTTGATTCTGTCTCCTAGCACGTTGCGCCGCTGTTCGTTCCGCCCGCCGTGTGTTCGGAGACTTGCACCGTGTTTTCGGAGACTGGCCAACGATGGTGGATTTCGCTGCAAGCCTCTTTGCTCGTTTTGCTGCATTCCTCCTCTCCTTTCGTTCCTCTGCGGTGTACTGGCGTGGAGGGCCACGGCGAGGTTTCGCTACTAGCGAGATTGTGGCCGCCACCGATATGAATGCCTCAGGCGCTGTCATGTTCCTCGGCGCCGGCAGGAGGGGGGGTGGTGCACCGCGCTGACTGCCCTGGCTTGCTGACGACTGCTGCACCGCTGGGTGAGGCAGCGGCAGGAGTGCGAAGCTCGGCGCGGCGTGTGCTGAAATTATGTGTCCTCTTATCATCATCATCATCATCATGGCCCTAGCTGCGGGTACCGGTTGATGACGTTAGACCTCAAAGCATAATGTTAGGCCTAACGTCAGGCCAGCGCATACCCGCGTTTTCCCCATCCCGCTGCGTCGCCAGCAGTTCGGCTGGCCCCTTAGCAACGATGACGCCGTTGCTATGGAGCCACATGATGCGTTGCAGCCAATGGGAATTTAGGTGCCGTTTTTTGCTGCTACAGACAACGCCGGCTTCGCTCAATAGGACAGTTAAAGGGGGACATGGCCTCGAAATTCAAAATTTTCAGAAAAAATGTTTTTTTCAAAAAGTATATTTTTAGGTTTATCAACTTCTAAAAAATGGTTTCAGAAAATTTCATTTTTATACATGCAGGATTTATCTCACAATAAATTATTTTCGACATGTCGGCAGCCCTTTGGTCAGCAGGGAGTAAGTTTTGTGTGTTTTTTACTTAGTGCTACTTCCTACTCGTTTAACATAGCCAGAACATCTCACCCTCATTGGAAGCGCCATTTACTTTAGATTTAGCCCGTAGAGACTTTCAAAGTTCAAAAGTATCACTGGCCAGGAGAACCCTTTACATCCAAACAGAAAAAATCCTGAAAATTTGGTATGAGCAATCTTATTGGTTGAGACCCGAAACAAGGTTTACGATTGGTCCTGCCCAGTGATGTGATATTGTGTCATCTTCAGTAACACCCTTTCACAGTATCTTCCACTTCAGATCATATTCCTGCTTTGCTGCTCTTCCTTAGTATGATTGGCCTCTTCGTTCTTGCCAGTTTATCTGTCAAGGAATGCCTGCTACAAAAGTTAGCTTGCCTACAAATGACACAAACTGGTAGCTATACGTGGCTTGCACTTGACGTCACTTCCGATGCCCCAGAGAAAAGGGGAAGAAGGAGCTCCCCTCTTATCAGGATCCTCCTTTGTGCCTCCCGGATTTGCACAGGCGTCGCTATTCTCCTCCCAGAAGACTATAGAAGATTAACCTGTCACTCAAGATTCTTACAAAAGCAGCTTCCCTCTCCTCCTTTTACTTGGTGTTCAAAAGTGTGCGATGTGACGTCAGTGCAAGGAGCCTATTGCCAGGGGAACAAGGAAGTCTCAAAGAGGAAGATGCTAACAATGCCCCAGGTGAATTTTGCCTACCTCGGGCTCATGCAAAAGAAAGAAACCTAAAGTTGAAACTTCAAATGCATTTTTCTCAGTTCCGCTTTTTGGCAGGAAATGTGGTATGAGGAAATGTATCATTTGACATGTCGAAAGTGTAAAGATTTCATTCAGTGGTGTCCTGGACTGAAATTTCCTGAGGAACAAGTTAAGGTACTCATATTCTGAAAAAGCTAACTTCTTCATGACAAAAACTGAATATTTTAAAACACAGAAATTTGTTGAAATCTTTTACACTTTTTTGTGTTATTGTTTTCCTTTAGAATTGCATTTTCTACAATTAATTTTTACCTTAACTTTATGGGTATTCTACTTCACGTTAAAACAAACGTTTTGTGGATTGCAATTATTATATTTTTTAAATACATTTCCTATTGAAGTCACTTTTTTTCTGGAGCTTTTTAAGCACTATGTGTTGTAGAATTGGCCTGCAAGACTGAAACTTTAGATGTCATCAATCCTAATGGGGTTCAATTCACCCTGAAAGTTTGAATTAATTTAAGGGAACGGTTCAAAAGTTGACCCTCCCAGGCCATGTCCCCCCTTAAAGCGAGAGTGACAGGTTATTTATGCTTCAAGCCTATCAAGCCGTGAGAGTCAAACGAGACGGTGGCTCACTTCTTTTTTAGGTATATAAAAAGTTTCAACAATGAAGCGCGTGACCGCACTTCCTCGTTCTTCTTTTACAATCGCTAAGTGGTAAGTTCAAATCCTGCCAGGAACTGAAGCATTTTTATATGGTTACCTATGGGCGTAACGCTTTTCGGTGTTGGTCTTTTGTCATGGCTGGCTGTTACTGCCAACCATTACAGTAAAGTGTTACACTAAAATGTTACAGAACTCCCTATAGAAATCAAATAATAAAACACACTCTGCGTTAAAAAAAAAAGTTAAATGGCAAGAACAATAGTATTGGCTACATACCTGTTCCTGTGGAAACTGCCTTGCTGTGGACTTCTGTCGGATCTGGCGGCTCTGCACAAATAAATGATTCCAACATTTAGAGTGGCACCTAGCCATAAAATTCCACGAAGACAACAAACCAATCTTAACAGCAACTGCCGTGTTGTGCTGTCGAAGAGTCTCTTCGGAAACCTGTGGCTCTGCAAAGAATGTGGTCGGATTCAACGTGCTGTTGGTGATTGAACGCCGAATTTGCCACTTTAATAAAGTACACACCTGCATTGATGTGGAAGGTGATCTTTGTCATGTCCGTGTAATCTGGCGATTTAGCAGATAGAAATGAAAAAAAAACGTCACGAGAAAATGTTCAGAAATGTTCCTGGCTACAAAAAGAAATGCTGTCGCTAACATACCTTTTGTAAAAGTTGGAACTAGGCTGTTAGGCTCCTGAACTTCCTTGTAACATTCTGGCTCTGCAAGTACAAAAAGGATTGATGTTCTTTTCAATAAAGATAATGTTTTAAAAGAAAAAAAATTATGAAAGCACCAACTTTATGACAGACCTGATTTAACAGACACAAGATGGCTGCTAGGCTCTTTGTCCTGTTCAACATATTCTGGTGGTTCTGCAAGTGGAAGCACAGCATAGTGAAATTTTAGCTTATGCTGAAACACAATGAAAACAACATTACAGGATGCTAAAAGGTGGCCTGGCTTGAGATGTTTGGCTTGCGCCAAGATACGAAGGAAAGGGGCTAGATAGCACTTATCTTGTCCTGAAGTATTTTTGTGAAACAAGTTCTCTCATCCTGAAATATTGTATTGAAAACATTCTACAATGGGTCTGTGCATGCTTTTTTTGTTATTATTTCAGAATGAACTGGTATTTACACACTGCTCTTTTATGGAAGCCATATTCTCCACTTGCACAGATTTAATTGTCCCAGTCTTTTTCTTTCTCTGATACATGCATGTCTGAGGTATCCAATAAGAGGTAGAAATATGTTAAACTTAATATCAAGTGTTTTTAGGTGCCCTTTATATTTCCTGCAATAAATAATTTTGAAAATAAACAATTCAGAAGTGTCATAAAAACATAACTTCTCCTAGAACTTCCATTTATACCTTACTGGAATACACATACCTTTCAGTTTAGTCAGCTACATTTATTTTCTCATTTCAGTATTTTAATTTGTCTTAAACCCTTTAAACAGACAAGCATGCCACAAAACAAATCTTCCCCCCCCCCAAAAAAAAAAATTTTCTTTAGGAATATTTACGATACAGGATGTAATTTAGTCGGAGTCATAACCTCTCCACATTTTAAACTCCCGTTCTTTCGACCCGCGCGGAAAAGAAGTCGGCCTCAACCCTCGCTCCTGGATTTGCTCTTGAATTGACTTGGCTGCGGAGCTGAACGACGCAAGCAGCGTCTCGACTCCCGGTGCGTCTTGTGTGCGTACCACAGCCTTTTGTAACTTCTGTGTTCTGTGCAACTAGTAACGTTGGTTCTGTGCGAACTGCGCACAAAATGGACCCTGAATTGAAGCGTCAACATCTTGGCCGCTGCGAGCAAGCGGGTCTTCGGCCAGACGGAGATACGCCACAGAGGACGGCTGCCAGCAACGATGACGGCGCACTGCCTGAGCCTTCGGCGCGCTCGGTAGGAAAAGCGTCGGGACCACCCCGTGTCTCAGTCGCGGGCGTTCAGTGCACCTGGTGCGAATTTCGAAGGCCTCCCGAGCGAAAGGACGAGAACATACCTGGACACTTTTGTCGCTACGCCCGATTGCCTCCAACCAAATAGCATTCAGCTTGTCATCTTTCGGGGGGACATGGCTGCTGGAAGACTCGCCGTCGCGATCACTAATCTGGCAGCACTTTACAAAGCAACGGTGCTGCTTTACGGGAGCTGACATCTCCAAAAAATTGACATTTGCACGTGCAAAAAAAAAGAAAAAAGAAAAAGCACGGTGAGAAGCCAATGAAAATGTGCTACGAAAGCAAAGGGAACACCCCAAGAAAACGCAAGTAACAAACCGCACCATGAAAGCCTAAACCCCGCGTCGCTTCCTATCACTAACACCTGCGACAGCTGTTAAACACACACTACTTCACTTCAGGAAGTCTCACTCAAGCACCCGAGTCAACGCGAAACACTGATCACTTCAGCCAAACTAGTCGAGGTAGGCGAGACAGGTGGGAGCAGAGAGTTTGGCGGCCATGCTTTTGTCTGTTATGGTATGAATCCAAATGGAAGTTCCCGTCTTGTAAACCTTTTGTAAATAATAATAACTCTCATTACATGGGCTATTCTTAAAACATAAAAATATGCCACTCAAAAGGAAATTACAGTACATCACAAAGGTTTAACAACCAAGATCTAAGCTGTCAATCAATCTCCTAGCCAATGAAAAGAGTTGCTATCGCATGTCCCTCCGTGACGTATAACAGCCACTCTCCGTGATGCATAATACCAACTTTGTGGCGCGCAATTTAAAACGGACAAAATAGCCACAAACTAAAATCAGTCTCGCGCAATAAGTATTGCTGCAAAATTTTTTTTTTTTTTGTAAAAAATTGTTTTGTGACATGCTTGTCCCAATTAGGCTGTCTAGAAAAACACTTTATTTCTTTGTAGTTCCCTTTAATACTTTCCATAATCTTTGCAAATGGAACTTCCAGTATTAAGGATATATTTGCAGTCAGATTGAAAAGGTAGACAAGTTGTGAAACTTTAATTAGTACTCGATCATAAGTTATTTTAAAAAGCTGAAGGAGCAGGGTTCCCCCTTAAACAGGCATAACAGAGAAGCCATGGACATGCCTTAGTGTTGAGGGACATTTTAGGTTAAGCTGAAAGGTACAGAAGAAAAGCTGGAAACACTAGAAGTGACTTGCTGCTGATAACATGACTTATGCATGTATGTGGCTTTTGTCTGTGGGTCTTCTCTTACATTATGCGTTGTTTGTGAAAATATTGGATCGAAAATAGTTTTCACGGCATACTTTATGTTTCAGTTTTCTGTATGTGCGCTCCTAGAAATTTATGTTGCTGAATTGTAGGAATTCAGGTGTAAAGAAGAAAGTTCTGTGCAAGTGCATAAATCTAACTTGCCAATGCATCGGATTGCTTTTTTTCGAAGGATGAGTACTACCTTGGAAAGATCACTTTCTACCGCTTTTCTCCGGAGCAATGAACAGTGGCTTAGATGAGGGCAACAGTTTGTTTTATTTGGTTCCCGTCTCATTTAGGCCGCCTGTTTGGTCATACAACCCTCAAATGTTGCCAGCCCTTTACATGCCACGTTTTAACCCGAAATGAGCCGCTACGAAACGCGAAAACTACTCATGGAGCAACGAACCTGTCTTGATAGTAACAGCTTGCGTCAAACTGTTGTCACTGGAACTGCCCCACCCTGCAAAAAGGGATGGCAGGAGGCTTTACCAAAAAGTGATGTGATGAAAATTAAGGTGCTATTAATGCCCAAATCACAGCATAAATCTTCTAGTGTTCAAGCCACAGAACTTCCAACAACTAATAATGAAAATCCATAAGAACTATTGACCACGTGGGTTATAGACAAGTGCGCAAACTCACCTGGTCCACTGTTTGGTAGTATAGATTTGATTTCTTGGGTGTCAGAATCGCCCTGCACATCTGAAACGAAGAAAAAAAAAAAAAAATTATGGCGCATGAAAAACACATATAAGGAAATTGTCACCAAGCTACAGTCGAGCCCGGCTATACAGTAAAACCTCGTTATAACAAAACGGGATATAACAAACTAATGGATATAACAAAGCAATCATAATTCCCCTTGCTTGCTAATAGTGGGAAGAAATGGACTTTGGCTATAACAAACTAATGGTTATAACGAAATAATTACGACCGCTCCTTCAACTTTGTTATAACGAGGTTTTACTGTATCACACTAGGGTATTTCGAATTATTGCTTATATCGAACAGTCCCAACATTCCCTTCAAAATCACAAGTAATAGCATAGGAGCGGTTTTCCTCTATCGAAATACCATGGCGGGGACACTGGATATGGCGAATTAAAACAGCCGCTCGCGTTGCTGGGCTGGCAGACCGCCAAGCCAGCATACGCGCACGGGGATACGCAGCAGAAGAGCAGTTGCAAGAAAGGAAAGAGCAACTGTAAAAAATCCGAAAAACAAGCAAAGTGGAGGATGGCAAAATCAAGGGGAAGGGCACGCGAGCGCATAGAGGGCAGGGAGTGCTCGCTGTTGCTGTTGGAACGGTAGCGTGCACTCTTCCTCCAACAGAGCTGTCACTGCACGACTCTTTAGCCCCAATTGTAGTGAGGACATCTGGCAATAGATGGCACCACATGTGTTGTGCTGGGGGATTACCGGAAGCGAAGCTTCTTCCGGTTGTTGATTTACGATTAAAGGCACTTTTTGACGATCTGTCACATGGGGTGGTTGTGTTCCTTCTGCCTGGCGACCATGTGGTCGCACTCGGACGCCCACGGTCACAACATGGTGTCAGAAGTGGCCGGCCTCCCGGTTTGAAGTCCTCCTCGCTGCTGCTATGCTCACAGCTAGCCCTGCCTCTCTGCGTCGCACGCTGCTACGCTTTCCGTCTTCTCGTCAACGTCGCTGCGTTCCTCGTCATGTCGCAGGAGAGAACAACGGAAGCTGCCGCCGCCACCGCCCCCGTCGTCTCACTCCCGAGCTTGGTTCCACCGCCCAAATTCGACTTCGCAAACCCCGACAAGTGGCCGCAATGGTTTCTACAATTCGAAGACTTCAGCTTTGCGTCAGGCCTCTACCAAGCGTCGGACAAAGTTCAGGTGCGGACGTTACTGTACACTATGGGATCCGAAGAGGCGCGGCGTGTTCTTGAGACGTTAGGCCTCACCGCAGAGGAATGGTGGTCCTTCGCTGCGGTAACAGACAAGTTCAAGGCGCACTTCGTGCATCCACCGAACGAGGTGTACGACAGCGTGCTTTTTCACCGGCGGGTCCAGGAACGAGGGGAAACCGTCGACAGTTTTTACACGGCCCTTCGAGCACTCGTCCACAAGTGCAACTATCCGTCCACGGAGGTCGAGGACAGGCTCGTTAGAGACCGCTTCGTCGTAGGACTTCTCGACTCGAGACTCTCTGACAAGCTCTGCCGCTGTCCGACCCTCACCATGGCCGAGGCCCGGCTACAAGCACGCATCCACGAAGACGCCGTCAAGGCGCGGGCGACCGTTTTTCGTGACGAGACAGCTGCCGTCGCACCTGAGCAGCTCAAGCTGGATGAAGCTCGTGTGAAGAAAGGTCGGAAACCGGCCCCTAAGACGTCTCCCAAGCAAGACTCGGCGTCGTCACCGAGAGAAGGCAGCAAGAACTGCAGATTCTGCGGCCGTCAAGCGCACCCCCGCAACGAGTGCCCGGCTAGACAAGCCAAGTGTCACTACTGTCGACGCCTGGGTCACTTCGAAGATGTCTGCGAGAAGCGGAAACGGAGTTTGAGCACTGTTCATCTACATGCTGTTTCGACCGCGGGCCGAGCGAAGTTTGTCAAGGTCGCCGTCAACGGGTACGACGTCGACTTCAAAGTGGACTCCGGAGCCGAAGTCACGGTGGTGCCAAGCACGTTTCCCGGAGCACCTCACAGTCTCCAAGAGCCTGAAGGGCAACTCACTGGACCGGGCAATCACCCATTGACAGTTCTCGGTACCTTCCAAGCCACACTGACTTGGAAAGGCAAGTCGGTAGTGGAGCGGGTTTATGTCCTGCCGTCGCAAGACTCGCCTCTTTTGGGGTTTCCTGCCATCCAGAAGCTGGGTGTGGTGAAGTTTGTTGACACCCTCTCCAGTCTCAACCAGCAGAGCCCTCTTCACAGCGACATCTTCGAAGGGTTGGGTGAGCTGAAGGACGAGTATGTGATTCGACTCCAGCCAGGAGCACAGCCGTTCTCCCTCAGCGTTCCTCGCCGCATTCCGATTCCCCTTCATAACATTGTCCGCGAAGAACTGGATAAGCTAGAAGCTGACGGTGTGATCCGTAAAGTCGACAATCCGACGGACTGGTGTTCTGGTATCGTTGTCGTCCCCAAGTCCTCTGGAGGTTACCGGATCTGTGTCGATCTCACACGCCTTAACCAGGTGGTCCAGCGGGAGCGTCACGTCCTCCCATCGGTGGAGCACATCCTGGGACGTCTGGGTCCTGCACGGATCTTTTCCAAGCTCGACGCTACAGCCAGTTTTCACCAGATCAAGCTATCTGCCGAAAGCCAGCTCCTCACGACCTTCATTACCCCGTTTGGCAGATACTGCTTCTGTCGCCTTCCTTTTGGAATTTGCTCCGCTCCGGAGTATTTCCAACGTCAAATGGGGAGGATCCTGGAGGGTCTCGACGGAGTCGTCCACATGATCGACGACATTTTGGTTTTCGGACGCACCCAAGAGGAACATGATTTTGCAACAGTGTTGGGTCGCCTGAGCAGTGCCGGAGTGAAACTGAACAGGGCCAAGTGCGTCTTTTCAGCGTCCACTGTTAGGTTCTTAGGAGTCACAGTCAGTGCAGACGGTATCAGCCCCGATCCAGACAAGGTCCAGGCTCTGGTCAACTTGGAGGCCCCAGCGGACGTCAGTGGTGTCAGGAGACTTCTCGGCATGGCTAATCACGTAGGCCGTTTTCTTCCTCACCTGTCCGACATGACTACGCCGATTCGTGCTCTTCTCCAAAAGAACAGTGCATGGTGTTGGGGGCCCAGTCAGCAGTCTGCCTTTGATCGTCTTAAGGGCATGTTGAGCTCCAAAGTCTGCATGGCCAAGTACGACCCTTCGTACCATACCACAGTGTCGGCTGATGCAAGTTCGTATGGACTGGGAGCCGTTCTGCTACACGACCAACCATCGGGAGAGCGTCGTGCCGTTGCCTACGCTTCGCGATCTCTTACACCGACAGAAACCCGGTATAGCCAGACGGAGAAAGAGGCTCTGGCCGTCACGTGGGCCGTTGAAAGGTTCGACCAGTTCGTCCGTGGCATCAGGTTTGATGTCGAAACAGATCATCGACCCCTCGTCACTCTGTTGGGATCTGCAGAACTGGACACTATGCCTCCTCACATTCAGCGCCTGAGGATGCGGCTTATGGCCTACCAATACAACGTTCTCTATGTACCGGGGAAGCTCCTGGCGACAGCAGACACCCTTTCCCGAGCTCCCGTACAGGCTGCCGACACCAAAGTAAACACCGTCGAGCTCTTCGTTGGGACACTGCTCAAGAACATCGAAAGTCTTGCATCCACTCGCCTCGATCGTCTTCGCCAGCACCAAGCAGAGGATGGAGTCTGTGCCGGCCTACTCCGATTCTGCAAGGATGGGTGGCCCAAGAAGGTGTCCAACGTTCCAGTTCATCTTAGGGCTTTCTGGAAGGAGCGAGGCAGCATCACAGCCTTCGAGGGCTTGTTGCTGAAGGACTGTCGCATCGTGGTTCCTCAGACTCTTCAGAAGGAGATGCTAACATTACTCCACGAGGGCCACCAAGGCGTAGGAAGATGCAAGGCAAGGGCTCGCGACTCAGTGTGGTGGCCAACCTTGAACAGCGAGCTGGAGCAACTGGTGGGGACGTGTGAGCGTTGTGCCCAAACAAGAATTCAGCGCTGCGAGCCGCTTCTCGGGACTCCTACACCCGATCGCCCCTGGCAACGTATCGGGGTTGACCTCTTTGAGCTGCAAGGACGCAACTATGTGGTCATGGTTGACTACTATTCCCGTTTCCCCGAGGTGGTCAGTCTTGCGACCACAACATCAAGCTCCGTCATCGCGGCTATGAAGAGTTCCTTTGCCCGCTTTGGGATTCCGGAGACTGTGGTCTCTGATAACGGTCCGCAGTTTTCGTCAACGGAATTTGCCTCTTTCGCAGCCTTGTATGGGTTCGCCCACCGTACGAGCAGTCCGAGGTACCCGCAAGCGAATGGCGAGGCAGAGCGCATGGTTCGAACACTGAAGGAGCTCTTCGTGAAGGCAGCGGATCCGCACATGGCGTTACTGGTGTACCGGGACACACCCGGAGTGACCGGCTACAGCCCTTCGGAGCTGCTCATGGGTCGTCGTCTCCGAACCAGACTGCCAGGGTTACCTGCATCGCTGATGCCGAAGTGGCCGTCGCCAAAGCTCGTCAAGAGCAGGGACCAGAGCGTGAAGAGCCATCAACGCGAGGACTTCAACAGGCGTCACGCCGCCCAGTCACTGCGCCCTCTGGAAGCAGGGGAAGAGGTGTGGGTACAAGATATACCATGTGCTGCTAGGGTGTTGAGCCCGGCCAAGCAGCCGCGCTCCTACGTGGTCGAGACGCCAAGGGGTGTTGTCCAGCGCAACCGTCGCCACTTGGTGCCGTTTACGCCCAGTACTCCCAGCCAGCCAAGCGACTTTGTTTGCACCCAGCCTGCAACTTCAGAAGGGCCAGTTCCTGTTGCCGAAAAACCAACAGGCGATTCAGCGGTGGTGCCCAGTTCTACACGGCAGTCTCCCCCACCGGGTATACGCGTCACACGTTCGGGGCGGCAAGTCAAGCCTCCTCAAAGACTGAACTTGTGAAAGAACGAGGTAAAGCTCCCTCGAGCTGGAAGGGGAGATGTAGTGAGGACATCTGGCAATAGATGGCACCACATGTGTTGTGCTGCGGGATTACCGGAAGCGAAGCTTCTTCCGGTTGTTGATTTACGATTAAAGGCACTTTTTGACGAGCTGTCACATGGGGTGGTTGTGTTCCTTCTGCCTGGCGACCATATGGTCGCACTCGGACGCCCACGGTTACATGTTGCCAGCCCTTTACATGCCACGTTTTAACCCGAAATGAGCCGCTACCAAACGCGAAAACTACTCATGCAGCAACGAACCTGTCTTGATAGTAACAACTTGCGTCAAACTGTTGTCACTGGAACTGCCCCACCCTGCAAAAAGGGATGGCAGGAGGCTTTACCAAAAAGTGATGTGATGAAAATTAAGGTGCTATTAATGCCCAAATCACAGCATAAATCTTCTAGTGTTCAAGCCACAGAACTTCCAACAACTAATAATGAAAATCCATAAGAACTATTGACCACGTGGGTTATAGACAAGTGCGCAAACTCACCTGGTCCACTGTTTGGTAGTATAGATTTGATTTCTTGGGTGTCAGAATCGCCCTGCACATCTGAAACGAAGCAAAAAAAAAAAAATTATGGCGCATGAAAAACACATATAAGGAAATTGTCACCAAGCTACAGTCGAGCCCGGCTATATCACACTCGGGTATTTCGAATTATTGCTTATATCGAACAGTCCCAACATTCCCTTCAAAATCATAAGTAATAGCATAGGAGCGGTTTTCCTGTATCGAAATACCATGGCGGGGACACTGGATATGGCGAATTAAAACTGCCGCTCGCGTTGCTGGGCTGGCAGACCGCCAAGCCAGCATACGCGCACGGGGATACGCAGCAGAAGGGAAGTTGCAAGAAAGGAAAGAGCAACTGTAAAAAAGCCGAAAAACAAGCAAAGTGGAGGATGGCAAAAGCAAGGGGAAGGGCACGCGAGCGCATAGAGGGCAGGGAGTGCTTGCTGTTGCTGTTGGAACGGTAGCGTGCACTCTTCCTCCAACAGAGCTGTCGCTGTGCGACTCTTTAGCCTCAATCACACTTTGAACGCCTTATCTTTGTTTCCCTTTTTCTTTCACCGGTTTTGCTTTGCCCGTTTTTTTCTTTGTTTGCTGCTGAATTTAGTGAAGTTTCTTTTTTCGTTGCTTGCTTAACTTCATTCATAGCCTCCTCTATACGGAGAAAGCCTGGCACATTGACGACGGAGCCATAGGGCCAGTTAGGGCACGTGGACGCAGGAAAAAGGAGAGGAGGAGCACGCAGAGCGGTGACCAATATGGTAGCGCAGTGCAGAAAGCGCAGAGATAGTGTGCGAGCGCTTGGGTCATGAGCGGCCGCCCCTCGAACCACGTTTGTTTTCGTGTTTTCGTCACCGTCGTTTTCGTACTTCAGGAGCAACGCCTGCGGCGATTCAAAAGGGTACTGGCAACAATGCACCACGCATGCACCATGTCGGTCTGCCAGCGGAGTGCGTCGTCGTCGGATCATTGTGTCATGCCGCGGAAGAACCAAACAGTTTTGACTAAGTAGTTTCGACAGCCAGGTGTCGAGGATACAAGTAACAGCGCTACAGGATGAAAGTTCGGCGTGTTCCAGCGAGCATTGCAGCCAACTGCGACGGGAAACGAAGGTATGTGCGTGCGTCGCGAAGGCGAACGCTTTCAGGCAAGAGACAGGCAGTGCACGTACGTCGGAGATATATGTGATCGGTGGCAAAGGGCCACGAATTTACACTACCTGGAGACATGAGAAGAGCTTCTTAGACCACCATCGGCAGTGGGTGACATGGGCCGTTGTGGCTGCGTCGTGCGAGGTTGAGAAGCGATTGTGCATGAGGTGCGGGATTCTGTTTGGTTCGCCGACATGCGCCGGCATGTTTGTGTGCGGTGGTGGTGGTCATGACGGTGGTGCGTGTGTGTGTTTTGGGGGGGGGGGGGGGGGTCGGAGGCGGAGAACCTACATGGAGTCAAACTGACGTGCAATCGTGCAAACCCGTTTGTCGTACAGCTGTGATTTTTATGTTTTTGATTCCGACAAGGCATCAGGACTGTTTGCTTAACTAGCAGCGCGTTATGTCGCTGTCCATCGAAAGACAGTTATGGAAAATAATGCGCATTCTTGAGTGCTGTGGTTTTTGTTACTTTGTATCAACGAGCTATTCATATTGTCCAACATGAGGTGCACCCGCAAGGCGCATTTGCGTTTCGCACATGCGGCTTAAACTGGCATTAAAGAAGTTTCTGAGTTAGTGATGACGGCAAGTGGATGACGTTGAAGTGGACTTAAGTCTAGATATTAATTGAACAAAGCTGCAGTGCAAAGTCACCAAGAAGTAGTGTAGTTAGATTGCCTACATGGCTCAAATGTTGCTCTTACCATTTTGCTTTTGACGAACTGAGGATGATTCTTTGTTTGGTGGTGGCAACTTCTCAGAATCTGTGGAGAAAATACTGGGGACTGCTCCTTTTTTTAGAAACCTTAGTTTGGTGTTTGTCTGCTTGAAGTCTGTCGGCTTGAAGTGATCAGAACAGACTCTGTATGATTCGATGTAGAGTGTAAACCCTTCATAATGGACAGCCTTAATCCACTCTTGACGGAGCTTCGGATCTGAGGGAAATTGATGAAGTGATATGCCACTGCCTCTTCTGAATTTCCTCTTGCAAGAAGGGACGCAGCATTGTACCACCATGGCTCAGCCCTAGCACAGGAAGTATATGAAAGTATGTTAGCTCTCGACACATGTTAGCATTAAGAAGGTATACCTTTCTCTTCCCTTTGTTTAAACAGAAAAAAACCTGAAAAAAGTCCCCCTCTCCACCATTTATTTCAAAGTAATACTAGCGTTTGCACTTGTTCGAAATATTCCCTTCTCACTATATATATATATATATATATATATATATATATATATATATATATATATGGTGATATTTTTTTTTATTCAAAACAACTTTGCCAACTTCTCAAAAAAAGAAAGAGCTGCATTAGGACACTTTTAATATTGCCATTAGCACACCCTTCTTGTCAACCACTAAACAAGTTTAAATGTGCAATTAGGCGACTGATTAACAAAAAATAGTTTCATTAACTTTTTAATTAGTGTGTTTAGAGGGCATATGGCATTTACGACATTGAAGCCCAACCTCCCTACGTTCCAACCGCATGGTAAATAACGCAGAAAAAATCGCTGCGGCTGATACCGGCCAAATTATTCGACAATGCGGTTGGAGCGTATGGAGGTTGGGCTTCAATTTCGTAAATGCAATAAGCCCTCTAAAGTCAACATTAGGGAGTTTTAGAATAACGGACGCGATTTTAGCGCACGCTAGCGCAGCGCTTGCGTTAGCACACGCGACGCAAGAAAGTTTTAGAATGGCGTTTCGGGAGGCACTCACTTGATCGAATGACGTTTTAGCGAACGCCCACGTTTCATCGAACGACACTTTAGCGAATAGTCGGACGCCGCGAAGCGGCGTTTTCGGTTGGGCTAAGTGAGTTAATATTTTTGTAATGAGTTGCCGCAGACTGTCGCCGCGAAGCGGCGTAAAGCGCAGCGCGACGGATGGGTTAACGCGCGCCCCCGTTATTCGCTAAAACGACCATTCGCTCAAATGTCGCCGTTCGCTAAAATGTCATTCGCACTTCGTTTCTCCGCCGCGACGGAAAGGCCCAAGCATCTCGCACTTGCAACGCCACCAAGATACAGTCACGATTTTTATTTCACGCACGAAATGCTGTAACTTGAGAAAATAAAAACAAGATTTTTGGATTGGAGTAACAATTGCACATTTGTTTAAACGCGAGAATGCGACGCGAGCGGTCGACCGGTCGTATCCGCATGCGACGCCTCGGCAAGACTGACCTTCGCCGAGAAATGTTCGCTCGTCGCAAGCATCAGGTTGCCGGTGATCGTTGCCCACCTTACTGGGTTTTCCAAGCCGAGTGCAATCTCGTCCCGTCTTGAAAATTGCAGCGTCGAGGATGCCGCCGATGTCCCACTCACGACGCCGCCAAAGCGACCGCAGCCATGGTCCTGGGGGCCGCCATCTTTTTAACTGTGCTCGTTTTGGCTTTAGCCAACTTCTCATTAGGGAGTTTTAGAATAGCGCACGCTAAAGCTTTGCGCACGCAAAGAATAGCGTCGTCAACACTGCGCATGCTCCGAACGCAAACCAGGTTTTGCGCCAACGAGGTAGAGGGGCTTTGTTGTTTTGCGCTTTGCGCGCGCAATTTTAGCGTGCGCTATTTCTCGGAAATAGCGTGCGTACGCAAAGAGGCTTTGCGCTTCTCCAAGGAGGATTCGTGATGAGAAGTTGGCTAAAGCCAGGGTAGCTAAAGCCAAGACAAGCAGAGTTGAAAAAAACAATGGCGGCTTCCAGAATTATGTCAGCGGCTGCTTAGGCTCGTCGTGAGTGCGACGTCGGCGGCATCCTCGCGACTGTGATTTTCAATACGGGACGACATTGTACTCGGTTTGACAACGATCACCGACAGCTTGATGCTTGTGACGCGTGAACATTTCTCGGCGAAGGTACAATGTGCGAAGGTCAGTACACGAGACCTCTCTTGTTGAGGCGACGCAAGCGGACACGACCGGTCAACCGCTCGCGTCGCATTCTCACGTTTAAACAAATCTAAAATAATACTCTGGACCAAAAAACTTGTTTTTCCTTAAGTTACAACATTTCGTGTGTGAAATAAAATTGTGACCGTATCTTGGTGGCGTCGCAAGCGCGAGATTCTCTTGCGTCGCGTGCGCTAATACAAGCGCTAAATTTAGCGCTAGCGTGCGCTAAAATTGCGTACCTTATTCTAAAACTCCATATTCTAAAGTTAGCGCTTGCGTGCACTAAAATTGCGTGCGTTATTCTAAAACTCCCTCATTTATCTGCGTACGCAAAGCTTTAGCGTGCGCTATTCTAAAACTTCCTATTTAAAAAAGTTAATTGAAATATTTTTGTTAACCAGTCACCTAATTGCACGAGAAAACTTGCTCCCAGTGGTCGCCAAGACGGGTATACTTATGACAAAATTAAAAGTGTCCTAATACAGCTAGCTCATCTTTTTCTTCAAAGTTGGCAAAGTTGACTAGAATAAAAAAAAAAACATATATATATATATATTGGAAAGCAAATGCTGCTTTTTTTTTTTTTAATTTTGAAATAATGATTCTTTGGTACAAAAGCTCGAGCGGCGAGTACACGCTGGCCATTGACCAAATATCGACGGGCTCACCTATGTAGCTCTTGTCTGTTTCGCAGAGAAGCTGGGTGCCTAAGGTATGTGCATACATAGCAAAAAATCACATACTCGTGCAGAGTACAGACCTACGGTCGCCAGTCTGACAAGCAGGAAAGTGCACCGTCATTTCAGTGGAAGTGCCCGATTAGCCACATATTGAACGTCGCGTGTAGGAGCTTCAACTGGACTACAGGCGCAACAATGTAAGCAATTAGTAAAATAGTAGTCAAAATGTTTATGGTGGACGCTGCCATCGCTCGAGCCTTCGTTGAGTAAGCGACGAAGACTAATATAGTATGCTAATTACGAAAGTGAA